CACATATATATGTTACATACCATAACTTATACTCTGTCGCAAATCTGTGCAAACTAGATGATCAACTGTGTATTTTTGTTGATGCACTTCAGCTTCCGTCCCGCTTTTCTTTTTTTTTTTTTTTTTTCATCCTCCTATAACCTTTTTCTGTTTATGTGTTAACGTCAAACAAGTACCGCATTGATTCTTTTCGCTTTTGGAAAGATTCGAGCTCATGAAAAGGATGAAGGCCGATTAACAGCCAGACAAGGTTGATTGAATTCGATAAAGCTGTTAAAAATTTAGAAGAACAGCGAAGGTGCAGTGTTAAATTACCCACGAGATGGTGGAAAGTCCGAGATAAAAAATCAAGGATACATTAAAGAAGACGTCTGACAAACAACAAGATCTTAAAAACTTGCATCAGAAAGCTGCCAGTAACATGAAAGCAATTCATTTTTTTAAGGGAACTTAAAAACGCAAACATAAAGAAAGGAAAATAATGGTAACAAAAATGCAAGGAGATAATGCAATAGCTGACCTTGAGGAGTACTAAGAACTCGATGGTTATATTGGAAGGGTTCAAAAAGTATACCCTCCCTCCCCATTACACTCATGAGTGACCAAGTAACAATGTCATTTTCAAAAAATCACACTTACTATATTTAAAAAAGTAACAAAGAAAAAGATAAAAAGATAGGAATGAAGGGACACATACATCACAAGGGATAAAAAATTATCCCCTTCAATTTTAGATTGAGTTTGATAGTGGACAAGTAGTGGTGCTTTTTCATCTTCAAGTTACATTATTGTAATGTACTGTATATAATAGGTATATGTATTGCATTCCAACTCCACATAGAAATGGGTTCCAATACGCGACTTTACAAATACTGGAGTCAAAATTAATGCTGGGTTTGGCCTAGCCTGTACCAGGTCTCTCAAGGGACATGTTGAATCGCGCGGTCTCGATCTTTGCACGAACCTGAGAAGTAGAAATCAATGGTTATCGTTAAATTTGTTCCTCTCGGGTTGTCTACTTTCATTTTACAATTCTACGCAGATCGATGATATTTTCGGCCGATCATCAGAAATAAAATAGGCTTGCAAACATACAACTTTCATCTCACACAACAACATCAAATATCGAGGCCGCGCGAAACAACATATGAGGTCCTGGTACAGGGTTGGCCGATCAAAACATTCAATTGGACGCAGTATTAGAAAAGTCGTGTTTTCATTAGGGATCTAGGTATGCCCTACTCTTTCAATGTACATGTACTTAATAGCAATAAATACAGCGCACAACATGCACATTGACATGCAATATGTTCTATATGAAGAGTGCTCCCTTTCTTGAATGTACTTTACTGCTTCCAAAACGTGCTGTCTTATTCCAATTAACTCTATGGAAAAAGAATATCTAAACTGGTGATTCTTTCACCATTTGCACTATGCATTCAAATTAGTATGGTATTGCACGGCATGAAGAGAAAATTTGCCTACAGAAGATGAAGAAATCAAGATTTTCATAGTTTTAATAAAAGAGAGACAAAGTTAAGTCGGTTATTTACTCAAAGAGTACTTCATTTCCCAGAGATTAACTGCTGCCAATACACTTGTCGTGAAGCGTGTTAAATTTCTGATAACATTTCTGAGGTCACTGAGGCAATAAGAAATTTCACACATGCACACGTGGTAGGCAAGTTTGACAGTTAAGACTACTTACTCACAGACTCAGAGCTGATCGAAAAGTACAAGGGCTCGGTCTTTTTCTCGAACGCAAAATCCAAAAAGTGAAAAAATACTCTTCCTGTGCGTGTCTTAATAGATAATGATCGATCGGCTGAACTTTTTACATGCGAAGCAACTCACTCGAAACTGCTCACTGTTCGCTCTTTCCAAGATGCTTCCCAGCAACTCAACATTTTTCTTCACCAAGCACACTCTCCAGTGCGAAAATGAACCTTGGATGACAATTTTCTGATCTCTGCCAGGAGTCATTTTATGTACACGACAAGTCAAAAAAGGGTACTATGTTAGTTTCCCCAGTCTCTTGTTTAACTCACTTTTAGCGTTATGGTCTTTACAAGTCTTAAGAAGGGTGCACTCGCGATCGAAGATATACCAAGCAAAGGAAGACAAGACGACATAGTCTGGTTCGTAAAAATTTACATCACTAAGCTACACATGGATTTGAATATTCTATCCGATTGTTTGGTTGTTCATTTTTGTCAAAATATTGCACAAAATCAACGTCACCATTCATTTGCACAACTATGCTGCAGAAAATAGTCAAAAGATGACCACAGTACTTGAATAGTTCTTTGAAGTTAACAACAATTTGTTTTGGCCGTTATAACTCTTCGAGAAATTTAATCAAAATTTGAACTAAAAGGATTTTATGGATTTATTACACTGCTGCCATCGACTCAAAATTGCTAGCCTCGCCGTATCAAGACGGACAAGTCGCTAAGAATTTTATTGAACAGCAGCATAATTCTTCCACGAGCCATGACGGCGATATTGAGCTTTGTTTCGATTTACAATGCACCTTTTTGACACTCTGGAAGACGTTAGAGCCCCTAGAAATATAATCTACACCGCAAATTCCAAACAAAAATATATTCACTCTCCGACCAAGAACTGTTACGGGATAATTTAGTGATTTTTTCCGTGTGTTTTTTTGGAGCCTATTTATTCGTTTTAGCCGTTTTAAATACGTGTAAGCTCATTCGTTGTAATGTTGTAAAAAAGATGAAAGCCAATAGTAAGTCCTTTCAACCACCAACTAGTACATTATCGAACGATTTTCTTTCAACTTTCCTCAGTTATTCCTAACCAAATATCTGTGTTAAAAATTGAAATAAAATAATTAGTCACCGTGCTTGTTTAAGAGGTACCATAAGCCAAACTTATAAGTTTGGCTTATGGTACCTCTTAAACAAGCACGGTGACTAATTATTTTATTTCAATTTTTAACACAATTACCCCACTCACGCCTGCTCTGGCAGTAATCATGCGTGTCCTTTCATCTGTTTATGGTACATCATGAGGTAGCTGGAAGCAAGGGCTTTTAAAGAAAGACTTTAAAATAAAAAGTCTCGAACGTCTGGAACAATTTGATATATGTTTTGTGGAAAAATCACACAGTTGTAAACAACATAAAATCAAACCGTTCCTCGAGTCTTTTCCCCCAAGGTCGTAATGTGCATTATTCATTCCTTTCGATGAATTTTTTTCTTAGTTTCTCTAATTTAAAATGGATAATTTGCACACCAAAATTATGCAATGAAAAATCTTGGTCACCATACTCGTTCTAAAGCCAAAGACAATCGCACCTCTTTACTTGGTCCATCAACTAAAAAAAAACAATACACTGTACTTGCCTGGTTACGTGATTTTTATGCGCATCATAGGATACGCAATACGGTACTGAGGAATCACCCCATGAGGGTCTCTAGCATCACTGTACTGTGGCCATGGCAACAGATGTCACACAAACACTCTAAAAATTTGCTTAACAACAACTTAACTTAAATTTTCCTAATTATGGAATCAACATTTTTGTAACGTTTTGTTATAAGCCACTTGCTTTGTATCCTTGAGAATATCGACCCTTGGCACGTACTTTCAAGACGCTTCGTTGATGAGATATATGTACATCGTTGCCTTCATTCGAAGAAAAAGAGAATAATTACAGATAAAGCGGTGGTGTATACATACAAGTCATACGATGGTTTAAAGCAAACCATCGAATAAGAGATTTATTATTCCACTGTCATTTCATTTTCCGCTAAAAATATAATGTTCAAATGTTAAAATGGAAAAGAAGTTAAAGATCAAAGATTCCATTGGTATTTTAGCCCTGTATACAGTGTAATACCGTGGCATATTTTTGCGTGTTCCATTGGCCCGTAAGTAATAGTGGGATAATAATGAGGTGTATGGGTAGCTGAAAAGAGTCATTCCCGTCAATCTTTTCGACTGTGGATACAACTTTCGATTGTTATTGAATTCTCCCTACCATACTCGAGAAATGCACCCTAATCGTAATTTGAAAAACCAATATCGTGTTATAAATGAAGAAAAAGACCGGAGGTTTTGTTTATTCACCGTAGTGAATATATTAGCATAAAATGTTGCCGTTTGCGTATTTACTTCCTAAAGGGATCGAGACGTTAAGTTTCGACTTCAACGATAACCTCTGCATGGATGAATGCAATTAAGTTTTCTCATAGTTTTATCCAGCCGTTATCTGTTCAACTAAAGTTTTGTTGCAACCGTAAAGAATTAATCAGCCTCGCCCTCAAGTTGACTTCATCGAGGTATCTAATCAGATTCAATCAATTCGTCAGACTTTTTGTACCGTACCGTCGGACTTCTCATCACCATGATTATAATAATGATGATCATCATCGTCATCGTCATCACCTTACACGGCTCTCCGAAATTTGAAACTATACAAAGCAATCGAGATTGGCATTTCGAGTACTTTAGCTTCTAGGGGAAAATCCAGTAATAATTGAAAACAATTTTTTTTCAATTTAAAGATAGCTGATAAACATGATTTAACAGAATCTTTAACAAACTTAAACTATAACTTTAAATCGATCTTCTTTGTTTTTATTATTATTATCATGATCATGACGATCATGACGATCATGACGATCATGACGATCATGACGATCATGACGATCATGACGATCATGACGATCATGACGATCATGATGATCATGATCATTATTATTATTATTATAGTCACTACAATTTTCGTTTTAATGTCTGGGGTTTAAGGGTAAAAGTAACTACCCCTAAAAAACTGAAGCTCCCGATTTTGTGCGCAGGTTACACTTAAATCACTTGTCTGAAGATCCTGAGGATCAGAATAGATGGCATCCTGTGTAATAGTTAAGATTAATTCCTATCTTTTTTTCAGACGGCTTTATAACTTTCTCTCATGGATTTCCTACCAGGCAACCAGTTTTCTGGTAAACGCTTCGAGAAAAAAGAACGAGGAAATGCGGGAAATTCGTCGTCGCTTGGATGTTCTTAAAATACGACAAAGCAATGATTTGATTGAGATCCGCGAACGTATTGATAATACCGTCCATGAGGCAGTGCAGACGCTTATTACGTATCTCAATTCGAATGGTGTCCATCAGAGATTTAGTGACTGGGCCCAAGATGAAGTTCGTGAAACATTTGAGAAAAAAGGGAGTGACGGGGTCAATCAGATGTTTCAGAAGAAGCTGAGAGATGTTATAGATGAATGGGAAGACGAAGAGTTCAAGAAAACCAAAGAATCCTTGTTGGAACAAATTCGGCAGAGTTTTCATTCTTATGAAAGTCAACTTCGCAGTCTGAGAGGCAATGTCACAGGAGGTTTTCCTAATGTTCCTGGCATCGACCCTTTACCTGAAGGTGTCAGTTTCCTGGGTCGAGTTTTTGTGAAAATCAGCTGGTTCATCCACAACTGGGTCCTTCCTTTCAGTTGGATCTCTAAACCTGCATTCTTATCATCTAATTCTGGGGAAACATGGGAACAAATTCTTAGAAGCTATCTGTGGTTCAATTCTGAGACACGCGATGCCATAGAGGAGCTGTCTGTGAAATACCTTAGCGAGGCCGCTAAAGAGGGTGTCCTCAAGCCTTTCGTGAAGAAAATACTACAAGAGGCCGAGCAGTATCTGAGCTTTATTGAGACCCAAGTTCCTAAGGAAATCGAAGCTGACAAGAGGTTGCTCGTGGAACTTTCCAGAGAAAAGCGCCCAGAAGGTGAGATAACAGCAACCTACCGACCGATTCTCGACGGCGCATTAGATATCCAAGAGAAACTAGCATTTTTTGGGCTAAGAGAAGTCGGTGCAGCAGATATCTGTAGTGAGTGGTTGGACTGGAATCAAGGGTCATATAAACTCGGCGCTGGAAAATTTTCCATTATGTACCGAGGAAAGATGACAAGGCATGGAGAAGAACAAGCTGTGGCACTAAAGGTCTTCCAAGAAGTTTGCCTCGCCAAAAATGCAAGCCGTGTTATTCAAGAGGCAAATCAGTTGAGGTAAATTGTTCTAAATATGAGTCTGGAAAAAAGGCGAAAATATTTTCCTTGCCTTGCGTTGTCATGTTTGCATTGAATGAGCGTGTTTTATCAGAGTATAAAACACTGATCTGTACCCAAGCTGTCAGGCCATCTGTCAATTTGTACCATGTCTGACCAATTCCCGAACTTCTCACTAATCTCTTTTCGTTAACCGAAAGTAAAATTTCGGAATAAGCGAGTCAGTAAGTAGCAACAAAAGAACTAAACAAAGGTTTGTAAACATTCTACGCGTTGTAATTTACGTTATTATACCACAAGTAGAGACGAAAATCACTAAAGGGAAAACGAAATGGACTGTTCTAGGCTGAAAGGTGTTCACATTCAGTCAGACTGTAAGCTTACGGACGGTAATTAACAACAGACACACCTGAACTCGTACAGTATATATAGTTTCGTGTTTACAAACAAAACAGCAACGATGAAAAAATGACCAAGCTGGCGTTACTGTTAAAAATTTGTACAAATCATGGCGCCATGGCGACTGCGATCATGCTGTGTTCCATCGCGACCAGCTCATCATGGCGATCCGTCATCGTGGTGAAGTAAGCTTCAGAAATTAAATCGTCCGCCCGTCAAGTGGAGTAGTAAGGAACTTGCTCTGATATTCATTCGATGCGTTGAATAGGAGGCCATATCAGTCACAGGAGCCAATTTTACGGCACTGTTACAGTACCCCGAGAAATCTTTTTATGTTTAGTTTGTTCATTTCGCTCACACGCCTTGAGCAGTTTCTTTTCTAATTGTCATGTGAAAAACTTGCGTGTCTATATGAGCCACAATTCCGCCGAATTTTACCACACAATCACTCTTAGTTCTCTATTAAAGCAAAAAAACTGCATGCAAAAGAGATTAAATCGACCCGCCGACTATTAAAGTTTGGGAACTATTTGTAAATACATGCATAGTTCAGCACGTTTTTAATGAGAAAACAAAAGATATATATATTTCATACATATTTTTAAATTACAACGTTTTTGAAAACGACATATATATATATATATATATTTTTTTATATATATATATATATATATGATGGTCATATTTTCAATTAACGATGCTCAGCTTAATTTTTTCGCTTGATTGCTATAACTCTCTTCATTAGTAAACTCGACCACCCCCACTTAGTCAAGTTTTATGGCACTGCAGTCGTCAATGAAAACCACGATTTAAAGGCGATTCTGGTGATGGAGCTGTGCAAGGAAGACCTGAGGAACCACTTCAAATCTAACCCAATATCAGTGCCCGTAGTATCTGGCGAGCGAAAACACGTACTTCAAGCTTTCAAGTGGGTGATGGAAATATCTTCTGCTCTCGACTACATACACCATAAGAAAGTTGTCCACAAGGATCTTAAGCTAGAGAAGATCTTGGTAAGGAATAGAGAAAAAAAAACAAGCCATTGTTTGTTTTACCAATCTCAGTTTCAGAAAATTGTGTAATACTGAAACATAAAGTTATTCTGTAGCCTGGGTGGACGTGGTGGAGGAATCCGTGGGGCCCCTTCACAATTAATTATTCCTAGAAGCCATTTTTGACATGTGTATGCTGCAAAATTAAATGTGGCAAAAAAAATATGATCAGTGAGTTTCGAGGATTTAATGAAAATGTAGAAGGTCTAATGTTGTTGGAGGGCAAAATAGTGCTAAAGGTGCGATGAAGGTAGGGCTACACCAGCCTGAGGTTAGGTGGACTCGTTATTCTTGCCGAGCTTAGAAAGTTTTATAACACTGTTTTTAAAACCTAACATAATTTTCGGTTGGAAATATTTCCTGACTGAATTTCATTCTTTTTATTATAACTCAAAAAGGTGTCTGAGGAAAAGTGAGTTAAATATACTTGTGCCAACTACGAATATCGTGAATTATATTATTTGAACAACTTTTTTTTTCCCTTTTCTCTCCTTGCTATCGAAGTTATCAGAAGACAACGCAGTGAAACTATATGATTTCAGCAATTGTAAAGAAGTAGATTCCATCACAGGGAAGCGCGAGGGAACTCCTCGATACATGGCACCTGAAGTCCTCCGTTATGAAATGAATGACTTCAAGGCAGACATCTACAGCTTTGGAATAGTGCTATGGGAGATCTGGTTTGGACAAGAGGCATTTGCATGTGTTGATTTACGAAACCTTCAACATTTCATCGACTTGGTTAGTGAAGGGCTTCGTCCAGAAGGAAAAGAGTCGAAGAAAACTCCATGCCACTGGAAAGGGCTCATGGAAAAGTGCTGGGATGGAGACCCAGGAAAACGTCCGACAGCTGGGGAATGTAAGGAAATACTAACCAAACTTAATAATGAATGGAGTGGTCAATTAGGAGAGCCATTCCCTAAATGATTTGTGAAGGCCAATGTCTTTCACTTATTGCTCAAATTTAGATAAAAAGATCGAGAATTTCTTTTCTTTTTTCTAACGGCACGTGAAGGCCAATCAATCTAAAGCAAGAACTCAAGTTTACTATCGTTTTTGTTACACGGATTAATCCCTTTCTTGTAACAAAGTGTTCGTCTGCTGGCTCCTCAAGTAAATACATCACGAGAAGTCGAGTTCTTTCACTAGCAGACTTCTGTTTTTAACGCCTTATGCGAGAAATTTCTACTCTCGCTTTCATGAATGCCTGCAAACCCAAGATTTATTTCAGTCTTGGAAATAACCTTTGAGGCATGGATAAACATTAGACGAAGAATGACTTTACAGGACAAGCAAAACTGCGAATAGCTAAGATACCAAAATGATCAATTTACGGTTGGGCGTGCAGGGTGTTAATAAGGGAAGAAGAGAAACTAGTAATGCAATTAGGTCGGCGGGTATTTTTTGTTTGTTTAGGTAGCTTTTCTGCATTGACTTCAAATGCAACGCTTGATATAAAAAAGAGAACTGAGATGGTTAACTATATCTTAATGAAACTTTGGAAGATTTTTGAGTTTGCACCATACAGTATGTAGTCATAGTTACGGTATTGATGTTACTTCTTTCATGGAGTTTGATTTTATTTACTCGTTTTTTCAAGTGCACCATTTGTTAGTATGAGAATGTACGTTTATAAGGGGATGGCTTAGTTAGTGATACCTTCCATAATCACAGGTCCCGTAAATTTTTCATCTGATCTTGTCAGCGTCGGTGGTCGCATTTCAAGTCTTTGTAGTGAAGTATAGCACTTTTTCCCATGTTCGAGGGTTCAGAGCTAGAGTGGCTTAAGTTATCGATGTGTGCGACTCAAGTCTGTTTATTAACTTTGTCCTTAGTTTAAATGTTTTGCGATGTAGAAGCTGACATTTATCAGAAAAAAGTAACGACACTATTACGCAATATTTTCCTGTCTTTAATGGTACCTTGTAATGTAGCGAGTGAAGCAATAGGTACGTAATGAGAAGTTGTTTAACTTTTTCGTAGTCTCGGTCTCGCACTTTCAAACCAGGATCTCTGCCTCAGGCGAGTCTCGGATGTAACTCTAACTCGCCAACTCATAGTATCTCGCCTAGGTCTTCCTCACCTTTTCAAAAGCTAAAGCGTTTTGCACTGGAGATCCTTCTCAGCTCAAGGAAGTGAGATAGGGACAATTTAAAGGAGCTGTTTTCTTTCTTGACAAGAATGATTTTGTTTACTGCAAGAATCAGAGAGAAGAACACCTCCACGTATCCTTCTTATAATCTAATCTTCTATTACCTAATCTTTTTAGATTAGTTTTTGTATATCATTGGTTTTTTAACAAAGATGCTAAGTCATCGGGGAAAGGTAGGGAGTACTGAAGGGAAAAACTTGATAGGAAGAGGGTCATACCATCCAAATTGATTGAGTAATGATCGCGAGACACTCTCAGGACTTTCTAGTGACCTACATTGCATTAGAGAGCCCATTGCAGCAAATTCACGAGTTTTAATGGGGAATTTAAAGTCTCTGGCGACAAGTATAAGACGGCATGTGTTTCCGGACCTGACACACTCAGCAAGTTCGACCCTCCTCCTCCCTTCCTTCCCTTCTATCATTTTGTGTGTTTTGCAATATGAGCACTTTGTGCCTATTTTCATTATGCCTTAGCTTTTCTAGCGCTTTAAAAAAGGAAGATCGTTGGATCATTGCTTTATTTGAAAGTTTTTTAATGATTAATTATATTAGATGTTAGTCAAGGCAATAAATCGGCCATCCTGCTTGGCTAAAATTTATACCAACACAAACTTGATTTCTTATTAATTACAGCGCCCCCGCAAACAAAGATCGGTTAGGTTGGTTAGGAGCACATCCTCTTTCCTTTTCTTGCATTTCTGTGTTTTTTTTTTTGTTTTTTTTTTTTCAGGTCTTCAAGGTTGCTCGTTTTTCGCTTTAGCGGAATGAGAACTTGGGAATCCACACGTCAAACATTCCTTGAATCTACCGTCATGACCAAATAAGATTTGTTTTACGTTCTTACGTCCTCATTTCTTGCTTCTGAAAGAATAGACTATGCTTCGAGAGGAACGTAGAAAAAATGAGATGTACTTAGCTTGATGAGGCCAAAAAGTGATGATTATTTTCCAGATAAAAAATAGTTTTGATAAAGTTTCAAATAACGCTTCATATGGAAATCTAGGGTTCAGAAGTGCAGAAATATTTGACATTTCGTACCTTTTCTAAAAACTTTTAAATCAATCGATAGGCTGGAAGTCGTTTTGACGCATGGTTGATGTGATTACTTATTAGTAAACACGCCCAGATTTCGAACTAAAAAGTCGGCCTCAAACCAATATTTGCCGTACAAAATGTTATAAACCAGGTTTCCTTTTCTTTATGCAAGTATCAGCGTTGATACAAAGACATTAACAATCGCCTCGAAACGTTATTTTGAAAGCTGTATGTCCATTCGTTGTCTAGCCCCTCAGCACATTTTTTCAGCCGGTTTTTCCATTTGTGCCTTTGGCAACTTTGCTCGTCATTGTGTCGTCCTCCTTAACACTCCACTGAGCGATCGAAATAAAAAAATAAACGTGTCTGGATTTAGTTACTTTTCCCGGGAAATCTTAATACATCCCCACTGACGCAAGGAGGCCCCGTTGTCCCTCCTTTTGCGGTTTCAGGAGGCGAGATAATCTCCTGGCATAGCGCGAGTTGTTTGCTGAAATCTCGCATTTGATTTTGGGCATAGGCAAAACACCAGGACTGGACCGTAGACTCTGGACTCTGGGCTCTACTTTGCATATGTTCTGTTGAGGGAGTGATTGATTTTAACCACTTTCTTTCTTTTCTCAGCCGATTTTAGTAGTATTGTACAGTAGGCCTTCTTCTTTTTCTATTTTTTTTATAATAAAGTTCGGATATAACGCGCGCTGTCATTGGTTGAAAGAGCGTGCTCTATGAGAGTATAGAGCATAGAACTGAGCTAAAGCTGTCGCGCCATCTGCCAAATCGTACTATGTCCGACCTTTTCCGGGACTTCTTTCTAGCTTTTCTTTCGTTAATTGAAAGTGAAATTTTAAAAACAAGCGAGCAAAGGTTTGCAAAAATGCCAGGCGCCGTAATTTACGTTACTGTAACGTGAGCAGAGACAAAAATCCTCAAAGATAAAACAAGATACACAGTCCGAGTTTTTTTAACGGTTTTCACGCTCAGTTAGATTGCGAGTTTACGTACGGTAATAAAAATCAAACACAGCTAACACTTGTATAATAATATAAAGTTTCGATTTCAAACAGAAAAAAACAGGAATGATGAAAAATATAACCTGGCATAACTGTTAAAATTCATACTAATCATGACGGTGTCAGAGCGATTTAAGGTCTATCGCGGCTAGCTAATTATAGCGATCTTCGGTCATCGCAATGGAGCAAGCCTCAGGAACTAAATCGACTACCCTTCGAGCGAAAAAATAAGAGTTTACCCTGATTACCTTTCCGATGTGTTGAATGGAAGGCCAGATCAGTCGCTGCAACCGAGTTTTACGGCGCTGTCATTCCGAGCGATCTTTTTGTCTTAGTGAATTCGGCTGTTGTTCATTCATAATACACTCGCCTTGAACAGTTTGTTTTCTACTTGTCGTGTGAAATAACTTGCGTATTTTTGCGAGCCACGATTGGGCCGAGTTTCACTGAACATTTCACTTTCAGATCCTGTATTAGAAACTAAAAAACTTCAGGCAAAAGTGTTAAATTCGACATGCCGAGCTATTTTAGTTTGTAAACTATTGCAGAATATGAACTTTGATGGTTTTTGAACTTTGATGGTTTGACATTTTTGACAGCTTTAGTCTTGTACAGCCAATCAGATTATTTGAACCATTCTAACAGGGATTCTGATTGGCTTATTGTAGCGTGCTTTATGAGAGTATAGAGCATGCTGACGACACTGTTGTTCGCTTTGGAAATAAGATTTGTTTTGAAAGTTGAAAGTAATTCTTGGGGAATTTAACGGATTATTTATTATAAAACAAATAGAGAAGCCTTGACTGTGCTCTGTTCTTCTTTCGTGCTCTAGACGCTTCCTGCGTGCTTTACAACAGAACAGAGCACAGTCAAGGCTTCTCTATTTGTTAAACAGACATGTTACTTCAAAGTCATCCAGGCTGTTTCGCGCGCGCACCTCCTCCTTGGTACCTAGAACATGGGAAATTTTGCATTAAGTTCAAACGATTTTTTTTTAATGCCAATTGGCGCCATGTCTTTTTTCGCCAACAGCTGTAACTGTGTGGTTATTATTGTGAATTTTAGAACTTTAAGGGTAACTGACGCCAAATTTTTCCCTTTTGTTTTTGCCCCAATACATTCTGAATTTTAGAACTTAAAGGGTAACTGACGCAAAATTTTTCCTTTTTTCGCCCCAACACATTCTGTTTAGCTTCAAAAATCCTAAATGAGCAAATAAACGATATATTGTGCAAAACCAAATTTTCTACAAATTTTTTTTGACGCTTAATCTAGGGCTATTTTGAAAACGTTCCGCGCCAGGTCACGAGATATGATACGTCACACGTCACACGTGTGTAAGGCAGTCGAAAGCGTCATATCAAGACCTGAAAGTAACAACCTCGCCCTTGCTATCCAGCCGCTGCCGAAATTTACGAGCGGAAAAAAAAATAGATTTGTTCCACTCCGATATAGGCTACCATTTAGAGACGAAATACGAAGTGAGAATTAAAATAATGAGAGTTGAATAATCGAAACGTGATGGATCGCATGTCTCTATTCAGAGGCACTGGTAACTTGCACACCATTCCAAAAATCTGTAAAAAAATATATTTACATAATTTTTCCCCTTAATCATTATCGAGTCCTGTACTTTTAGAAATATTTTCTAATCCATACCGGAAAGTATTTGACTTTAGATTTTGTCCGTTGTATATCACTGTGACCTCAGGCCCATCGATTCTGGAGTTTCTCATTTGCGACTGGAAACATGATTAAATCAATAGTGTCCAAAAGGTTACTCATTTCAAAAATGTTTCACTGTCAGCTGAGTGAGCAGTAAATTACTCACGCATGTTTATCGTAAGTAAAAAAAAGCCGACAGCCTGAGAGAGAAAACTATTAAAGCACATGTCATGGGACTGCCTAGCTCCCACCATTGAAAACGCTATGCTTTGAATTGGTAAAAAAAATGGAACCGAGTCAGCGACAAACTCTTACTACGGTAATAACAAGCACATAAAATTATCTCAAATTACGACCTGAACTTAAAAAAAAAAAAAAAAATATATATATATATATATATATATATATATATATATATATATATATATATATATATATTGTTTCCCTTAAACCGTGTGTTCATTCTCCCGATTTCACAGCCGTCATGATCTGGGTATCAATAAATGAAAGTTAATGAATAACTTGACTAAGCAGGAAGCGATGGAATATAGTAATTCTTTCATCCTTAATGCCTTTACTCATTAGTGGCTCTGTGTTTGACGTAAAATAATACTGGGTCAGGCCGTTCTATTAATAAATCTAGTCAGGAATGGTATAGTTCGGGTGAAAAAGGCTCTTATTGATGAGCCCCGGGAACTGAAACTAAGGTCCTTTCCACACAAGCAGACAAATTAGAATTGTCCCGACAAAGTCAAAGGACAAATTTTATCATGACAAATTTTTGTCTCCTCTGTTGCATCGGCACTAAAAATGTCGAAGCTGTCCAAAAGCTGTCAAATTCGGTTAACAGCCAAAAATAACACCGTAATAGTAATTTATTCAATTTAGCTGTGCGCGCCAAAACATTAAACGTTTTGGCGGGACAATGGAAGATGTTCAACTGCTTCAACTTGTGGCGTGTTTCTTGCATTTGAATTTCGCTAAGATGGCAGACAAAATGATGCTTATGATAACCCTAGTATTAAGGGATCAATTTCTTAGACACCAAGCAACTCTTTTCATGATTGAACACCGTGGAAGACGGAGACGCAAGGCATGCCGACACAACCCGTACTTTTGGAAACTTCCAAAACCAAACCGGTCTTGGTTCGAGATCCACTACAATGACCAAACAATTCCCGGAGAGTTTTTCAGAAGGCAATTGTGAATGGATCGTTGTACTTTCGATATTCAATTGAATGTTTTGCGGCCTGCTGTAACACGCGAAAGCACAAAATTGCGTGACTGCATTGTCCCATTACTCCTCGTTTGTCCACTTGTTATAGGTCAATTTGCCTTTACCTTTCCCTTTGGTTTGAGATGGCACTTCTGGATCTTGTGCGACCACATCTACAGCATAATTATTAGTCTGATGAAGCGGCGACTGGAAAATTATTCCACCGTTGTAGGTTGCCCCGGCTGATTGAAAATTGTTTCCTTTTTGGTCGTCATAGGGTGTCACATTCCAGCGCCTGATCTGCTCATACGACTGGTTACTATTTTTCGCCAATGGATTAAAACTCCAATTACGGGGGTTCATCTTAAGTTAAAGTTGTAAAATCTGCGAGTTTCGCAACCATGGACAATTACTGCAATCTTTTGGTAAACTGAACTCAGTTCAATTACCACATTATTGGTGGCCTTTACGACAAATGATGGACAAGATTATCACGGTTTTGTTTATTTAGTAGTCCTAAATGTAATAACATTTAGGACTTTATTACATTTAGGCCTTCAACAGCGTTCACTTAATTAAACGACACGCCTCGCATATTTTTAGCTACTCTAACTTAAGATGCCGATACTTAGACAACCAATCAGTTGATTGTACCTTTTCAATAAGACTGTACAGTT